TTATTTCTGGCTAGTCAATTTCAAAAAATGGCGACCAGCTGGGAACATGCAAATCAAGTATGGAATATTTAAATCCCGGGCTTGATTTGCAATTTCGGTCGCCTTCATTAGCCTCCCTAGATCAATCTAGGGGGCTAGTGTAGATGTACCCAATGGGTATGTCTAGACTACATGCCTCTGATGACAGAGGCATGTAGATTAGGCTACCCGGCATAGGCAAAGAGGCTTACAGGATCAGTTGGCAAAGGCTTCCCCAGCCAACTGATCCACATCTAGACTACCGCGCTGTGCCGGATCAGCTGATCGTCGGCACAGCGTGGCGGCCATGTTTATTTTAATGAAGTGGGGATTATTTAAATCCTCGCTTCTTTGCCTATGCCGGGTAGCCTAATCTATATGACTTTGTTGCCAGTTTTTTGGGGGCGGGGAGCAAACTGATTGGAGTTTTCTCTAAATAATTAGTATTGAATAAATCTAGAAGCATCTTTCTCCTGTAGCAAATGGGAAAATGAACCCTGGCTTTGCAGGAGCAATTTGATTCAACATAGTTATGAAGGCACGACCTTTGCGCTCTAGTTGGGGTTTTTTTGGTTTTTGTTTCTTTTTTCAATCACTAAGATGACACTTCTATTGACATCAGCCCCTAGCTAGCATCCCAGAGGAAAAATGCACGAGGCTTTTTGTTTCTCCCAGCTTCCACCAGCAGAGTGACCTACAGACACACTCAGCCTGATGGAAACCTGGGGCAATGTCAACTTGTAAACCCATTCAACCATAAGCAACCCCGAAGGGCTGGCAGAGAACAAAATAATCTAATCTTCCAAAGTTCGTTCTAAGACAACACAATGTTGAATTTTATGGAACAAAAGAAATCAGCATAGCTGTCATACATGTTAGGCACACATTATTAAATGAAGCAGGAAGTACTATGAGTTGCCTGACATAATCTTTTAAATATCATTATCCACTTCACAGGGTTGTTGTTTTTTGTGTTTGTTTGTTTGTTTGGGATTTTTTGTAGCTGATAAAATATTTTGCAGGAAGATGCCTTATTTAAGAAGGGATTTTGCATTGGTATCCATGGAGACAAAAAACCAAGCATATACATTCTAACATTTTCCCCCCTAGTTGTTGTTAAAGAAAGTTGTACTGTTCCTACTGGGGCTTTACAGCAGCAAAGTAACATAGCGAGAGTGGGGAAGGAAGGCTGCTACAGAAGGCTGAAATGGCAAGGTATTGCGTGCATATTTCTCAAAAATGTCCCTGTGATAACATGGGGAATTTGTCTGTACAATTTATGAATGCTATGTGAGCTCGGTATGCATTTTTATTGGACTACAAACTCCATTTTGCATGTGAGGGCTATTTGTCTTTTATGCTTTTATTATCATACTGGCCTAAAATTCTCAGGGGAGGTGACACCGGGCCAATAATTATGGATTGTTAAATCCATGCAGGATTATCTCCTATTCAAATATAAATATTTAATACAGACAATAGGCAGGCTCCCAACCAGGAAGAGTGCTTTGTTAGGGGACTCCTGAGGCAGCTGACTTGGGACTTACCTGACAGATGGACTAGAAGATTTTAAAAGAGCAGATGATCTGTTTGGGATCTCTGGCCATTTTTCCACTGGCTTCTGCAGAGGGGTGTGTTTAAGCTAGAGAGAGAGCCTGAGGTATCAACAATGGTTCCAGCGATTGGTCAGTGGGATATGTGGTTCCAGGAACTGAAGAAGAGATGCATACAGACTAAGCCACATCCAGAGGGCCAAAAATAGTGGAAGTGCCTGAATTCCTTTCAGACACACTTGGGACTTGAAGCAGTTGCATCCCCTGTCAGAATCCTTGTGAGTGGCCTAGAGAAAGGATTCAGGTAGGCCTGTGACAGTCCTGCCCAATGAATGTTTGAATTCCATGGGCTTCAAACATTGCTCTGTGTGAAAGTAATGCTTCAATCTTCACTAGGGCGGATTGTAATTAAGGAAAGATAATGTTAAATCCAGAAGAATCACTAATGCAGATGAGAAGAAATTGTCCTTTCTGATTCCATCACCAGCTCACGTTTTATAAAAGTAAAAACCTACCAGTTCTCTCTCAAACCCTGCATTCATGGTATGCTAAGGAAAAGAAGTCTTTAACAACTTTAATTTTTATAAAATAGAATTTCTGTTTCCTAACCGGACAATCGGATACTTCCCCCCACTGGGGCTACTCATTGGATTAGAGATATAGAATAGGACCAATAGGTAATGGAACAGATCCATGTTTAATAGATTATTTTTCATTTTTAAAGTGAATCTTAGTCCAGGGGATGACTATAACCTTTTGGCTTGAGAATTAGTTGACTCACGTAAGTGCAAGACAGGAAATCGATGGATTCACATCATTCTAAAGCAGGCCTAATGAGGTCAGAATCAACCCTTTCTGTTCCTCTTGAGCAGTCAAATATGGGCTTGATCCTTCTCCTTTTGAAGTGATCAAACTCTTCATGACTTCAATAGGCACCTCATGAAATCCAAAGTGTCACTCCTGTAAACAATAATTATTGGAAAGTCACAGCTTTCCCTTCACCTCCTGCACAACTTTCTTTTCAGTCCCAAACTGTCTCTTGTTTACCACCTCTGATAAAAGACTGCCCTTCCTCAGTGCCAATCAGTCCCCCCATCCACTCCACTTTCTCCCATAATGCTCTGCAGCAGACCCCTTTGTGTGACATCTATCAGCAAACTGTCATGTCATCTTTCTGATGGACCTTGGACACGAGTTCTAGTATAAATCTTTAAGTGGGCTTTCTCCTGTCTAGAATGCACAAGATCCCATTATGTATCAGCCTGTTAGGTAAAATTCTGGCTGGAAGAATTCCAGGAGAGTTTTGCCATTGACTTGAGTGGGCCAAAATATCACCCTTTTGGGTTGAATCCTGAGAGAGGCTGAATGCCCAGAGTAAATATAAGTTTGCAAATGTTTAAATTGCTTGTCTTTTTGGACCTAATTCTTATGGATATTAACGTATGTAACAAACAGTTGGCCACAGTTTTGTTGCAAACAAGTAATTCAATCATAAAAGCAATGCATTGAAATTTGCTTTCAAGTGTTTCCCCCTTCCCAGGTAAGTCTTGACAGGTACATGGCAGTACTTTTTACATCTTGAGAACATAATTGTGCTGCTGGGAGTAAGAATGTTGTTTTTCTATGAATAATTCTGACAGAAACATGTCTTAATTAACTTTCAGCATAATTAATATTTTCCCTTTGATATTATAGTCATCCCTCCTATCTTTAGAAAATTAAGATCTATGTAATTAGGGATGTCAGCAGTTGGTAAGATGGCTTGGAAAATGTACTTGGCTCTGTACTGACACAGTTGAACTCTAAACTATTTTTTTAATCAACATGCAGACACGTAGGCTATAATGCATTTCTGAGGAAAAAAAGATTTTTCAGGAGAGGCTTTCTGTGACACCTGCTGAGAAATCAGATCTGATGTCATGCTGAATGACAAAACTGTTTGTTTTTCTGTCTTTCTGCTCCATTACTTGTTTGGTTTGCTGGGGAGAGTTAGTGAGTTATTTCTTGTCTTCTGGTTATTTATATATGTATATACATTCTCGCTCTGTGTCTTTCTGTCTCTCTCACTGTGTGTGTGTCTGTGTGTAAGTAATTGAATTCTAATGGATACATATGTTAACTGTGCTATTCCTTGAGTGAGGCACTACCATTGTGAACCAAAGTTAGTGATTACCTTGAGCCTCAGAGAGCCACAAAGACAACAAGGGAGAATTTTTTGGAGAGTAGGATGCTCTCCATGATGAGTGAATATATTTGTATCTGGCTCTTAGGGACTATCCCTGCACTTACAACTGGGTTGATGTAAAACATAATTCATTCACAATTGGGTCACCACAATGCACGGCTTCCTACAAGGAAATCCTGGCTCTGCTGTAGCCAGGGCAAAACTCCAATTTACTGAGTAGAGCCAGAATTTCATTCCCTCCCTCCCTCCCACATGGAAAAGTCTTATAGAATGTTATGAGAGTCAAGTCAATAAGATAATGCTCTGTAGTATATTTTTTTCCCATTCCAGGTTCTAGAATTCCACAGAAATGCTATCTTCTTCTGTAAAGAGGGTGCTCCAAAGGTTATGTAGAAAGGCTGCCTTCCTCTATTTAATTAGGGCCACTCCAGTTAGTGTTTGTTCATTACAATCTAGACTATTTGGGAAATTGTTTGGGTATGCATATACAGTAAAACTCCAATAGTCCAGCATCTAATTGTACGGCACTCCAGATAGTCCGGCATCAAAATGGCAAGAGCCTAGTGAGTGTTTAAGTGAATAATTTACAGACCATATTAATGTTGAAATGTATAATTTTTGTGTTTAAGTGAATAAAGTGCTGTATTAAGTGTTTTAAGTTACTGTATTAATAGTTTAAAGTGACTAATAGTTTAAGTGATTAGCCAGTGCTGCACACTACTGTACATAGTATCCCCAGTTTATAGTACCTCCTGATAGTCTGGCATATCCGATAATCCGGCACCACCTAGGTGCCAAAGGTTCCAGATTATCACAAGTCTACTGTATTTGAAAATTCTCATGGCTTCACTGATGTTTAATATGAATTATTTTACTCAGAAATGTGTGCAGGGAAAATACATTATTTATTATACTGTTGTTTTGGGCATCTCCCTAAGCATAAGTACACAAACAAACTGAAATATACTGGCAACTAACAACTTAGGTAACCCAATTCAAACAATCAGGAGTTTTGATGAACACCAATGAAGTTCACTGTAACCTTAAAATCAGGGAATAAAAATAGCAAGAAGCATATCTGATTCATCCTACCTGAATCAAAATAATGATCTCCTCAAGTGTGAAGGACAAAAAGATAGAATTGGTCAAATAATGGAGATCAAGAGAAAAATTGCCTTGACCGATTGCCCAGCCATTTTGAGTTTCAGTAAGGTGTCATGTACGCAGCAAATTGATAATAGTTTTAAATATTCAGGCAGTCCTTAGTAAAACCTCTGCAAGAGATATCTGTGCACTAATAGTAGAACAACATTACAGTGCTCAGAGTGATAGTAAGCAAGCCTTCCTTTTTTTTCTTTGAGACTAGGAACCTGAAACGGCAAAGAGATAGGATTACAGCACAGTTGTAACATAATGATCATTACTTATTCCGTCAGCATTCATTATTGTTACATGAATCATAATGAACTCATCTGGCATTAATATGAATGTAAAATGCAAATCTATGCAAATTCCTATGTAATTCAACATCATTTAATGTACCATTAAACACCTTCATGAGCTCCCTGTGATCGGAGGTCTTTCTTTAAAGAGACCGGCTATTACTGAAATATAAAGACGCGATAATTTGGCTATTGGGCACCTTATGGAACTAACAGAAGGTAACAATTAGTCATTGTGAGTGACTATTAAAGAGAGACTTCTTAATTCGGAAATTAAAGCTAAGTAATGTGGGAACGAAGTGTAATTCTAGCATCGTTTTATGGCCCACTTACTTTCTTTTACAGCTCAGTAATCATCTCAGAGTTGGGATTTTTTACCTAATGTCCATTTATTCTTCTTCATCCTTCTTCAAGGCATCAACATAACTTTATAAACACCTTCTTTTACTTAGATAAGGAGGCAAGAAAGAACTCTCCAAACCTTCCTGATGTGCTTTCTTAAATAATAAATGAAGCGGTAAAATGGTATCAGAGGGGTAACTGTGTTAGTCTGAATCTGCATAAACAACAAGAAGTCCTGTGGCACCTTATAGACTAAGGGTATGTCTACACTAGCCCCCTAGTTCGAACTAGGGAGGATAATGGAGTCATTCGAAGTTGCAAATCAAGCCCTGGATTTAAATATCCCTCGCTTGATTTGCATCTTCCTGGCCGGTAGTTTAAATCGAACTACCTGTTAAACCTCATTCCAGGAGGAATAACAGGTAGTTTGAACTAGGGCTTTAATTCGAACTACCGGGTCCTTGCCACATGTAGACGTGGGCAGTTAGTCTGGACTTGTAAATTTCAAAGAATGGCGACAGGCCGGGAAGATGCAAATCAAGCACGGAATATTTAAATCCCGGGCTTGATTTAAAAACTTTGAATGCCTACATTAGCCTCCCTAGTTCGAACTGGGGGGCTAGTGTAGACATACCCTAACAGATTTATTGGAGCATAAGCTTTCAGATGCATCTGATGGTGGGTCTTGCCCATGAAAGCTTATGCTCCAATAAATCTGTTAGTCTATAAGGTGCCACAGGACTTCTCGTTGTTTTTGAGGTAAAACATGAAGACTGTCAGCTAAAATGAACACACTGCTCTCTGTAGCTAAGCAAATTGCTGAGAGCAAGAAGACGGGAAGAAAGAGGAAAGGATGGAACAGACGGGGGAGATAGAGAACTTGGGGGTCGAGAAATGAACAGTCGAAGGGAGAATATCTGGTGTGTTGGGCCTTTGACTCCCCACAAGTCCACAGTTTTTGAGAGCTTCCATCTCTGACACAGAGTCCTTCCTCAGCTCAGGGTGTAGGTAGTGGGGCAGTCACTCTGCTCCAGATGAGAAAAGGGTTAAACCAAGCCCTGGGAGAGGGCTGGCACCGTTGAACAATCAGCTGAGGCAGGTAGCAGCCAGTCAGGGCCCAGCTTGGGCAGTATAAATAGGGGCTGCTAATCTCAGACACACTCTTACTCCAGCTCTGGAGCAGGAGGGACCTAGCTGCTTGGGAAGCTACTGAGGGGACCTGAGATGGAGCAGTGCTGGGGAGAGGCAGGCAGAGCTATAGAGGTCTGGCTTGACCCAACTTCCAGGCTGCAGGCCTGATAAAGGCGCCTGAAGAGTACTAGGGCTGCAGAGAAACAGCCAGTGATAGGAAAAGACAATCGGTCCACAGCTCCTTGCCAATGATAAGTGGCTATTTCTGACTGCAGTTTGCCCCTGAGGCGGGGCTAGATGATGACTGGCAGTGGATCATTGAGGCAAAGTGGGTGTAGGGGATTGGGGTTCCCTGGGAGGGGAGGACCCCTGAGTGAGGGGGCACTGCTGTGGGGCAGTACTGTGAGGAAAGGCGTGCCATGAGCCAGGAGAGATGAGGGGCCTGAAGGGGCAGAAGACAGATAACTGAGGGCAAGTTAGTGAGTGCATTTTCTATTTGTGCTATTGATTGTTCCTTATTAAGTATTTTCCTTTGCATTTGTTCTTGCTTTCCCTCCTGCTTTTTTAGTAACACCTGGTCCAGGCAGTCAGATGAGGCTGGGTTAGCAACTGTCTCCTGCTTTGCTGATCTGTCTCTGTCAGGCTCTGACACACACATGTCTTCTCCAGTTATTGCCCTTTCCCGTGACAAGCATTTCCTTTTAAGTTTCCTCTCTGCAGGCAGCATGGTGTACCTAAGCCCAGAAGAGCCACAAACTTCCTTCTGAATAGCCTGATAGATGTCCTGCACAACATTTTTAACACAAAAGGATCCTATTTTGGCCTTTGCTGGAGATCCCAAAGGAAGTGACATTAGTATTTTAAACCACTAACCACACATCCTGTTCTATTGACGCTTCCTGCAAAGTTTTGAACAACATAGCCTGTGAGAGCTTTTGCTCTTGTCCTACAGCCTTTGGGGGAGGATTTCTGTTATCAGAAACATTGTCACATAATCAGAATGATTGTTGCTTAGGAATTTATTGCCTATGAACCTCCTATTTAACACTGTCAGATGGCTCGGAGATGCCTATGGATTACAGGGATCCCTTGCATCTGGTATCTACATGCTAGTTGATGAATGTCATGTAAGGTCTCCACTGAAAGCCTGTAAAACACTGCTTATCGTAATCACTGTGAAGTTTGGATAATATGTAAGGAGAAAGATATGTTCTTATGGTCTGTCTTGTGGCTGGTCAAGATGAAGCAAGTTTCAGGCAAAAGATGTTTGTCTGGCTACATGAAAATCATTATTATATACTTCACAATGAACAACTATTTATAATCACCTCATTAGCATTTTGCTCAGATTGTAATGTCTCCAGGGGAGAGACTAGACAGGACAACACAAGCAGTGGGCTTTTGCTTGTTTGTAAGGGAAGCCAATGGATTTTTGGACTACAAGTACAGTCTTTTCACTGAGGAGGCAAAGGGACCGCATGCCTGCCTTGTGAATGGAAGATCATAGTCCAGCCTCCCTGTGATGCAGTGGAGAGATTTGGGGTGAGCTTTTGTTCAACATGATGTGATAACAATGTCTAGAAAACATGCGATTGGCTGTTTTAATATGTAACCATTTATTTACACTCACTCTACTTGCTGCTTCTCAAATCACTGACCTTGTTAAACTTGTTTTTCACTATAAACATCTCTGTATTAAGTGGGGCTGAGATCTAAGATGTAACTGGTAAGCCGGGTTGTTCTGTTTCTGTAGGAGCAGAGAATCTGGGAATTCTGGATGTCCTATGGATCATGGTTGGTGAGCAGTGTTCCCTGTAAGCTCAGCACTTGAGTGGTCACCAAGGAGAGATTCAAATGCCACCCAGCTCTTTAGCTGAGTGCCCAGAGTGCTTACATCTGGCAGCATGCATGTCTGCTGGGAGTGCACATTCACATATGTCTGGATGTGCATAACAAAATTTATTCCACACATGGTTGGAAAAAAAATTAGAGGAACACTGCTAATGTGTCCTCCAGGGTGATGCTCAAAACACTTTGGAGTTCGAGTGTGTCTATCCCCATCCTGTGAACAAAGAGTGAGTCCTGAGGTGGCCTATTAAGCAGTGCTTGAATAGTCAGAAGCTGCTGGCATTTGATGAACTGATGACGGCTGCCACAGAGAGACTTCTTCACACTAAGCACAGGTGTATCTGGGGTCTCAAAGTGCTGGTCACTTCCAGGACGTGTCGTAATGTTTATTAGCTCCTGCTGGGTTTTTTCCCCACTGGAGCCCCAAAACCTTAGCGTCTCATTTAGAGAAAATTCCCATTGAAAACAAAGGGGGGGCGGTGATGAGGGGTTGGGTAGTGTAATATTTCCTTGCTTTTGTGGCTATCTGGGGATGATTTACAAATGAGCTCTTTTTGCTCCTCTGGCAGCTTCATCTTTTTCCAGTTCACTCTGACCAGCTCAACACCTGCAAACTCCATTTTCCTGGCCAATTTGTCCTTCCTTAGGCTGATTCTGCAAGGTGCTGATCATTTCTATGAGGTGCTAAGTGCCCTCAATTACCACTGACTTCAATGGGACTTGCAGGTACTCAGAACCCCTTCCATATGCTTAGCAGAATGCAGTACTGAGACCTTGCAGTGCTTCTGACACAGTAAAATGGTCATGGAACCATGCATGATGTAATTTATGGCCACTAGCTACACATCAATTTTTTTCTCCATCTGGCTGTAAAGACTTTGGTGATGCACAAAACATGCCGAAATAATGGGACAAAGGGTGACATTAAACACTTCTCTCAGATCTACCTGAATATACATTCCGAGAAAAAAAGCTAGCAAGAACACTGAGGAGTCCTGTGGCACCTTACTGACTTAACAGATCTATTTGGGCATAAGCTTTCACAGACAAAAACCACTTCATCAGACACACAGGCTGTGTCTACACTGGCCCTTTACCAGAAAAGGGATGCAGATTAGCCAAGTCGGAATTGCAAATGCCGCGGGGATTTAAATTTTCCCCACAGCATTTGCATGAACATGGCTGCCGCTTTTTTCCAGCTTGGGGCTTTGCCGGAAAAAAGCACCCGTCTAGACAGGGATCTTTCGGAAAAGAAAGCCTTTTCTGGAAGATCCCTTATTCCTGATTTTAAGAGGACTAAGGGATCTTCCGGAAAAGGCTTTATTTTCCACAAGATCCCTGTCTAGACTGGTGCTTTTTTCCGGCAAAGCCCCGAGCTGGAAAAAAGCGGCAGCCATGTTCATGCAAATGCTGTGGGGAAAATTTAAATCCCCGCGGCATTTGCAATTCCGACTTGGCTAATCTGCATCCCTTTTCTGGTAAAGGGCCAGTGTAGACACAGCCTGTGTGTCTGATGAAGTGGTTTTTGTCTGTGAAAGCTTATGCCCAAATAGATCTGTTAAGTCAGTAAGGTGAGCATGAAGACCTAGCAAGATCATTTACAATAA